TCGTACTTGCTAGACGACACAAACAGCACAGTATTGACAGCAGCAGCAGCAGCCGCAGCAGTAGACGTTGTAGATGTCAGTAGTACTAAGTAGTAGTAGTAGTAGTAGTAGTAGTAGTAGTAGTAGTAGTGTGTGGTAGTAGAAGAAGAAGTAGCAGTAGCAGCAGAAGTCGTAGTAGTTGTTGCTGTCGTCATCATCTGAGTCTGAATACAAGCGGTGACGAAGGGTTGCCACTCGTAGCGGGCTTCCTGAGTGTGAATGGCGCGGCCGCTTTCTGAAGACCTGAATGGAAAGGCGTTTCCGAGATCCTAAACTTTGACAGCTAAGCCGAAAGCCCCAAGCTTGACAACAACCAGCTTGCCTGCTGACTGTGATGTCTGGGAGTGTCTGGGAGAATTGTCATGGGCTTCCGGCTGTGGTAGACACTGAGACCCCTGAACTTGAGGTGCATCCTGTGAACACCGGGCGATACCTGCTTGTGGACGTTGTTGTGAAGTTTGTGCCTCCCGAAACCTTCCCAGAGCCCGGCGAGTGTCAGAGCCAAACTAGCTTGACGACCTCGAACGCGCTTCGAAGCCGCCCCAAAAAGCAGTCGAAAACTCCGTTCGTTTGCTCAGGAGTTTGACAGCCTGGTTTTCGAAGGCACGTCTTGGATTGCTTATCTCGATGAGCAAGCAAGACCTCGGCCTGAGGGCCTAGGCCTAGGCATCAGGAGAGGGTGATGGGCAGCCGGAGACCCTAAGTGCAGTGATGGTGGCATGCTGGATAGGAGCAACAAAACCACCCAAACGTCCAGATGCTAACTCGAATCCCGAAGCCCTAGCTTTCTTCGGGGCCTGTTTTTCATGTCAGGCTTCGAGACCTGCTCCGACCCATCGTTGCCGCCGGACGTGAGGGTGCGGTCCGACACAGATTTGGCGGCTTGTTTCGAGGATTGCCTACAGCGTTGCACGGACTAAGTAAGCGCCATTTGTGTGCGTAGAGTAGGCATAGTAGGCCTGAAGGGCTTGGGACGGGCTCCTCAACCCAGATTCCCCAAGCTCTTCCGTTTTTGGCTTAAGCCACCCTCCGGCTCAGAGCCACCCGGACCCTCACGAACTCAACAACCAAACCAGAGCTTGTTGGTCCCTGCGGTGCTGTCAGCCGCCTTTCTCGTTGCCGGGCTCGAATGCTGGTAGGCAGACTGAGACGGTGTTTGTTGAAAGCCTTCAGTTGCAAGGTCTGGTAACAGAAGAGGAGTTGCTTTTATGGGTCTCTACGCATGTGGAAATGTAGGGGGCAGAACTTGCTGCTTGGCCCTTTGGTTGCCCAGGATAAGAGGAACATGCTCTGCGACAAGAGGCTTTGCTTCAACGACCAGCCTGCAAGCACAGGGACTCCTCGCAGAGGTCTCCCAAGCACAAGCACATCTGGAGCGCCCAGATATGTAGATATGCACATCCGCGCAAAGAATGGTGGCAGGTTCGAGGGTTGTCCTGCAAGTCGCATTAGCTTAAGCCATGTTCCGCGCTTCCGACATCTTCGGAAAGCGCTCTGGCAACAACTCTGACGCCTTGCGAGAGAAGGCAGGATAACACTCTTGCTACCACCCGCTCTTTATTACAATGTTTATCCTGTGTTATAATGCGTTGAGGCTCAGGAAGGCTTGCGCATGCTGTCAGGCACCACGTTGCTCTTGCTTCAAGGAGACTCTTCTTCGTGCGGTACCACATACTTCAAGCGCACATGTATCATGTGCATGCGCTGCATGTTTGAATATCATGCGTTGATACAGGTTGTCCCAGGTCGAGGAGGGTCAGGAACCGCCAGGTTTCGACAAGCCTCAGGAAGTTGGAGTGCAGTGCTTGGTGGAACTAGGTTGAGCTTTGATGGGCAGCCTACCCAAATCCCGAAGTCGTGCAGAGGCCTCGTTGTAAGCACGACCCCCAGCCTGAAGGCCCTCATCCCTGCATTCTTCCCGCTAAACTGGATCGTGGAGCCTGCGGAATACTTTTGAAGTTCCAACAGTGCAGCCCAAGCAGCCTTAACGCACACAATCTTGAAATCCGCCCCACTATGCCTTGTGTTGAGGCGAAGGCGCAGACTGAAAATGCCGGGGAGAAGCTGGGCGGGAGGGTTCGTTGATTTCTGACCTTTTTTGGGGTGGTGGGGCTCGTCAGATTCCTGAGGCTTTTCCTGCTTCTGTAGTCTTTCGTTGCCAATCGGAGATCTGAAGAAGCACCACTTCTTCCAGGCTGTACGGTGAAGCAACCATGAAGTGCAGTACTGTGTCTGTCTGAACCCAGCGACACGCTTGGGCTGTTGCCAGACATTCATCATGGTCTCGCTGTCGCCCCTCGCGAGCATAACGATCGCCCAGGAAACGGCCTGCAGATGCGGGGCCCACCACGCGAACTTGGGCAGCTCGGATGTCCCACTCCCCTCAAGGGTTGAAGCCTGGGCATGAAGCAAGCCTTGACTGCTTCACAACGTGGGCCTCGATTTTAGAGCTTTTGTGGGTGCTGTCGGGATTTGGTTGGGCTGAAGCTCCAATCCGAGCCCCTGCGATCAACACTGCCTTCAGGAGCTTGGATGTTCACGAGCAAACAGCAATCTATCTAGAGTGTGGTCTTAGACAGGAATCCGACGGCCAAACCCCGAAGCGCCACCCCATGAGTCCCAATTGCTGAACCGGCACATCTGAACCCCAAGACCTCAGCTTTTCAGGACCCCGCCACAGGCGAGATGGTCGACGAAGAGCTGCCGGAGGAGCCTAAGCGAAGCAGTGTTGCAGATGCTTCGGGGTTCGGGAGATGTAGTTAACAAGCTCTTTGGAGGGGAATTCGAGCCCTGCACACGCAGAAACGCAGAATCCGTAGACTTTCATGCCTCCCACACCATTCAATCCCTGGACTCTTAGAGTCTTAGACCTTCGCAGAACCCCAATGAGAAACCTGAGCCCAGGAAATCCAGGAGATGATGGGCTTAGTCAAGAAGCCCAAGGTAGAGCAGCCCCAAACCAGGCTTCTGGGAAGCTACACTGTGGTAGTTGAGTGTCTTTCAGGGCTCAGGAAGTCTGGGCCAGGGCTCCTGGTTGGCCCCCTTTTGGGGAAGAGGCATTCGGCCGTCATCAGTTCATATCAGTTCAATGAACTACGTCCGAGGTCCAAGTAGTTTGTGGTTTAGCGTTGAGGGTTTGCAAAACACAAGCTTACAGGTCAGGGTCTTGGAATGTCCGAGCTGATCTCATCAATTTCTCAGTGTTATTGGAAATCCAGAAATGTGAGGGTCAAATTGTGTGAATGTGCGACTCATGGTGTTATCCCCAGGAAGCTCAAGGTTTAGCGAGTTCAGGGTTGAAGAGGTTTGGATTTCAGGAGGTTGCGGGTCCCAATGTTTGGGGTTTAGGGTTTAGGGAGTTACAGGGTATCTTTTTGGTTTAGATACGTGGCTATAAACGAGTGGAAGTTTAGGTGTTTGGTTGCTTTGAGCGGGAGTTTAGTGTATAAGAACTGTGAGGTTCAGCGTTTGGATTGTTCTGGGCTTGGGCGGCCTTTGGGGCTGACGTGCTTGTTGGTGAAACACGCTGAGGCATCAAACACCTTGGGGGGAGGGACGCTGAAGAAGACATTCTAGTTTTCGTGACCAAAATACCCAGCAGTCGTTTAAGGTGTTCAGGTTCGGGGTCTGGGATGTCTCAGGTTCGCCTCAGCCGTTGTGCAGTGTTTCGGGCTGATGGGGTTTAGCGCAGAACATTTTAGGGTTTTGGTGCTTGTCAAGCTCAGGGCTCAGCCATGTTGGGTCCACACTTAGACTGTGTGCACGGTGTACTGCTGCGGAATGTTTGGGTTTAGTTGCTTATAGGAAGTTGAAGTTTTCAGAAGATTGAGGGTGTAAGAACTTCAAGGTGTAAGGTTCAGCAATGCTAGGGTTTTGAGCCTTGTTGCAGTTTGGGTTTACGACGCTTCCGATTTAGGATCTACAAACTGTACAGGCTTCATGGTGGTGGAGCATTCAGGGTTGGTGAGGTTGGGGGCGTGCGAAGGTTAGAGGGTTGGAAGTGTACGGTTGAAGAAATGCTGTCGACGGCTTGGGCAACAAAGCTGGGAGACATTTAGGGTTTGAGATTTAGTGCAACTTTCGGGCTTCGCAAGTTCTACGTGTGGGAGAGTTCTCAAGAATTTTGGGCTTTAGGCGCTTTTGCGGTTCGAGAAGCGGTAGGAAGGTATAGGAAGTCCAAAGATCGCGACAGTTAGTGTTTACGGTTGACAAGGTTGAAGTACTTGCGAAGCTGGGGCGTCACAAGTTGCGTGAAGTTCAGACTTGGGGGCTTGAGAAGTTACGGGGTTTGGGGCTGAGGAATGTAAGGGTTTGCGTGCCGCGTGCCGTAAGTTCAGGGTTCAAGAGGTCGCGGTTTAGGGTTCAAGATAGATATTTCGAGGAGGTGGAGACTTGATTCAGACTGTGCAGGCTTCAATCGAAGCTTTTGGGCTTGAAGAAGTGACGGGGCCAGGAAGTTGGGGGTTGTGGCGTCGGAAGATTTGGGCTTAGCATGTTGAGGCCCGCGGTTTGGGGCTTCAGAAGTGCAGGGCTTGAGATGTAGAAGCGGGCTCTGACTTTCAGAAGTTTCTGGAAACGCGTTCAGGGGTTGTAGAGCTTCGGAGTTTACTGTTTCGAAGTTCTGAGAAGTTGAAAAGGTTGGCAGTTGACGCCTGAAGCTGAAGAAGGATTGGGTTCGTTTCTAAATTGCATTGGTCAAACTGCGCAACCACCAGATGTGGTAGGCCTCTGTGTACAGCTAGGCCTACCGTTGAGCCCTTGATGTTGGCAACCGGCCCAGACTTTTCTCCTGCCTTTGCGCCCGAGTGTTAGAAGCCTCAACCAGATAACCCAAGCTCTGCCTAGAACCGACGCCCTGCCAGACCGCAGCGGCCCGCACCGGCGTATGCGCTTCCAGTGCGACAGCGGCCGCCGCAGTGGTCACCACAGCCACACCAGCAGAGCCGGTTGCCACTGGGCGTTTCTGGTTTCTGGGACGGGCTGGCGTAGAGGAAAAAACTGCGAAGCCGAGCCAAGCCGGAGCCAATCCCGACCCATTAACCCAACACCCTCCAAGGCGAAACCACAGCCAACTCCCGCGAAATCTCGCCTCGTCAGTTACCAGACGCGGCCCTGATTAAGCCCTTCAAACACGCCGAGGCCTTCGATGCCTCCCGCGCCCCCACCCCCGCCGCCTGCGTGGGTGCCGGGCACGATGCGGCCAGCGGAGCCCACACAGCCTCCCAGACCACAGGGCCCACCAGCGCTGAAGGCTGGAAGCGCTGTGAGATTTAAGGATGTACTGCGTCGTTCGTGTAGGAGGGCTTGAGCTGGAGGTCTTGTGTTCTGAGCCTTGATTGTTTTCGGCCTGGGGTTTGCACGTGTGCGGCTCCTTTCGTGGAGCTCAAGGGCAAAAAATAGCCAGCATCGCCAGGTCACTATGGGAGGCTTTCGCAAGCCGGAGCTTAACGGATGCTCTGCAGCACAAGCAAGGGGTCTTCGGAACTGGGGCTTCAGGCCGCTTGCGTAAGCGCTTCAGAGTTGCAGGACTGCTGTTCGCATTGGGGACGTCGGAATGGCAGGTGTGGGCTGATACTCTCAACTTTAAAGCACTCGAAGAGCAGCCCGACTTTACTTGTCATACTACAAATCCTAAGCACGACCCTGCCAGGATACTACTCCGAGCGCCCAGAGCAGGAGATCCAGGGCCGTGCCAGCTTCTGGACACCCAACCAGGCCTATTTTATATACTGGTGCCTCGACGAAACCTGGTACCGTTCCGAAGCCCTGACCCCCTGACCCCGGCTCTACCTTTGAGATTTGCTGACCCGATTGTGCAAGATGCCTCTTGCGTCCAAGGCAGCGGAGCCTCAAACGC